GAGTTTTCCGAGTTTTGTTGTACTTTATAATGTACATTTTGTACATTACATTTTCAAAATTAATAAATTTTAACACAAATTAAGTTTTGATCCAAATAATTAATACAATAAAATCTCGATAAGAMGGACCTTCGGTACGACAGAAACCCCAGTATTACGGAAAATTTTTTTGGTCCTGTTTCAAATTACATAATATAATTTTATCCCGCTAAGACGGAAACCTCGCCAAGCCGGAAACGGACACATTTTTGTTATGCAAGTTGACGAAAACCCTCACTAAGACGAAAATATAACATGATTTTCATGTAATAAATTTATTTTGGTATTGTCGATACCCATAGATAATCAATATACGAGCGCGTACGATGATATTAAAAACTAATAAACTCGATATGTATACAGTATATACTATACAACATTATTATCTGAGTTGCTTGGTTCAGTAGAAAATCTTATATTGTTACGTTTGTGTCATTCGTAATCTTTAATTTAATTTAATTTAATTTTTTTAACCCCGTCAAGACGGAAACCCTGTTAACAAGAAAAAATTTCATGGCCCCGTACGATTCCGTCTTATCGAGGTTTTACTGTACTAATAAAATAGTACATTAATATGAGTGGTGGGTAGTTTGTACTATTACCTATATCATATGCTATTATAATAAATAAGTTAAGGGAAACTTTAATTGTTAAAGACTTGATTTGCCGAGAAATGAAGATAAATATGTTTTMTTTTAATGAACTTTAGTTTTTCTAGTCATAATAGTAAAATATATATAGTCAGTGTAAATATATATATAGCCGGAAACGAGGAACAAATCCCATAATAGTGTTATGTTTGGTTGATAACAACATTTATAACAAGTTCCAAATTTACCTCAGTGATGAAACTATTATGTCTATTATTCTCTTCAATTTTCATAAATCTCTTTGGATTATTCATTATGTTTGTGTTGTAATCTATAAATGAACAAGAAAAATTTAACTTATATTGTTATTACACAATAAGAAAAAAAGTTTTATTATACAGAAAGAGAAAGTTATGTAATTTATTTTTAATCTTATAGTTGAGATTTTGATAATAATTTCAAAATAATGAGAACTTGAAGTGTGTGAAGTTGCTTCCCTAATATAATCTAATAATCACTTATCTATAGAAAATATTTGAAATTTAGATTTGAAAATTTAAAAACTCTTATTTCCACCATAAGAAGGTGTTTTAACCCTTGTTGGACTTACAAGCAGCCCTCCTCCTATTTATTTTCGTCATTATCAAACTTAAGCCAATATTTCAAAACTAATTTATAGAATTTGACTTATTTTCAAAGTGTGAATCCTTTTTTGTAGGAAGAGGGGGGGGCGGGGTAAAATAGCTAAACCAAATTTTAGGTGAATTTCATAATATTTTTTTCCAGATTAATCAGCAAGTATTTTTCACATTTAGATATTTTTAAATATTTATATACACAATATATTATGCTAATTTGATTTTTATTAGATAAAATTGTTCACCTTTAATCTGACTAGAAAATCTTTTGATTTCTTCAAGTTCAAAAACCAAATTGCTTCTGGTATCAATTTTACTTGAATTGGACTAATTAGATATTGATACCTTAAACCTGTTGATGAGGCGTTTCCCCGTGTATTGTGTTGAATTTAAGTGAATAGAGCACAATCTGCAAATACAATAACATACTTCTTATTCCATATATAAGTTTGGACACTGACAGTTGAGCACTTTTTTTGCACCTAAAATTAAATTAATAAATATTTTAACATTGAATAAAACATAAGACTTAAAATAGACTTAACTAATTAATTATAAGAAATAGATACCTTTCAACATCCTTTGGAATTCGATTAAAAATGAAATGTGTGTTGTACATGTTTTTACATGCTATACAGTAAGCACCACTCATCTTGAAAAATAATGACTTTAATTGATCCTCAAGATTAATTTAAATGTACAAATGTTGCTACAGTTTGACATGGAAAGACCTTTAGTCTAATACTTGGTGTAACTAAATTTTAGGTGCCTGAGAATTGAAAATGAAAACTTTTTTTAGTATACTGTTCTGCACAGTGCACATCCACCAATATTCTTAACTACACATTAAATTGATAACTATATTTTTTTTAAGTTTTACTTTTCATAATGATATGTATAATATAGTAGGCTCAACATACTAATTATTTTCTAACCTATGTGATTTAATTTTTTTTTTTTAATTATTTATCACAAATAGAACTAGATAAGAAAGGTATAACACCTCAGTAAATTTTAAAACTGTAGTCAGTACTGAAAAAGTAAATGAACTTTTTTCAAAAGGAAATTGATATTTTCATTTTAGATTCTGAGCGGAGCGATGAATGGATTTTACAATGCTGTGTGTGTTTGTGTACAATAAGTTATCGAAATGATGCTTGGGTCAAAAATTTGAAATTTAATACAAGGTTCCCCATAAGTTGGTTTAATAGCAGTTGGGAAATTTTAAAAATACATAGGGACATTTTTTTTTTGTAACCATTTAAAGTTAAGATTTTGACAAAATTTGTTTGATTGAAAATTTACAAATTCTTTAGTTGTTAAAAATTTATAAAACGTTTAACCTTTATAGCTAAGAAAAGAAAATTTAAAACAAGGTTCAAATTGAGCAATTAATTTTGCAACAAAAAAATTCAAAAACTATACAAACACAGCTTTTTTATAGTTATTTTAAGTGTTAATTTGGATAAAATTACACAGTAAATAACCAAGAATAAAATTTTTAGTTATATTGTATTTAAAAAATATTATTCGAGAATACTTGAAATTCTAGAGTATAATTTAAATTTTAATTGTAATAGTTGATTTTATTAATGACTTATATTAATATTTTATACTTAATATCATATTTTATATACTACGAATGATTGTGTGAATCAAGTACATAATGAATTAGATTTTATGGTACTTTCCTGTTATACCAGACTACGGCTATTATCGCGACTAACCACCCAAGACTACCTCCGTTATCGCGACTACCACTGTTTTTTTGCGAAACATCACAATCCTGTTATCTAAGACTATCTTATTTTTATTTTTATTAAGAGAATGTCCTACATGCGGGGGCGATCTTAATTAATTTTTTTTTTAATCTTTAGGTATTGCGGAGATGGCCACATTCGAATTGTATTTATATATATATAAAGAAAAAGAAAATATCGAAATCATTTGTA